ATCTCTTTCTCTCTCTCTCTCTTTCTCTCTGTCTCTCTCTCTCTTTCTCTCTCTTTCTCTCTTTCTCTCTGTCTCTCTCTTTCTCTCTGTCTCTCTGTCTCTCTCTCTCTCTCAGAATATTCCTCTGTAGAAAATAAAAAGCGCTTTTTAGAATTTAGATTAACAAGTAGATACGGACTTGCATAAACAGTTTTATCGCCGCGTGAGTTCGCAAAAGAAAAAAAAAATATAAATAGATGAGATCATGCCAAAGGGTCTTAACAGGTGGATAAAACATGGGTTGATGTGGATACTGAGTTTTAATACGTCAACGTAAGTAACAAGGTGTCAGCGGTTGTCAGGAGAATGATGGATGAAAGCGCATTGAATAGCCCTCCCCCTCCCCTCTCACCTACCTCTACCCTCTGTCTGATTCTTTCCCCTCCCTCACACCACCCCTTCCCCCTACCCTCCACGGGCTGTCACCCTTCCCTCCCCCCGACCCTCCCTCATCATCCCCACCAGTGTCTCGCTCTCCAGTGGCCTCCCAAGTTCAAGGTCACCTTTGTCGGGGGTAAGAGAGATGGAGGAGGGAGGCAGGGGTAGGGGAGGAGAGGGGTAGACGGGGGTAGGGGAGGAGAGGGGTAGACGGGGGTTGGGGAGGAGAGGGGTAGACGGGTGTTGGGGAGGAGAGGGGTACACAGGGGTAGGAGGGAGAGGGGGAGCTAGACAGGGGTTGGGGAGGAGTGGGGTAGACGGGGGTAAAGGCAAGGGCAGGTGGAGGATGACCGGGCATGCACGGACTCTGTTGCATCCTTTGCACTTGCCTGCTTGTAATGTTCATTATACTCGAGTAAGTATGCCTGATGCTCTCTTCCTTCTTTCTGTTTTTAATGATTGGATGTGTTGATGTTGCTTTGGTGTTGCTTTTACAAACATGTGTGTCTCTGTTTTTCTTCTTGTCTCACTAAATCCTACTCTTTGTTTTTTTTTTCCTTTCTGTGTCTCGCTAAGTCTCTATCTCTATCTATCTGTCTCAATCTCTCTCCCTTTCCCTCCCTCCTTTCCTCCTCCCCTCTCATTCCTTCCTTATCCTCTCTCTGTCTGTCTCTCATCCCTTCTTCTCTCCTATTTCCCCTCCCCTTTACTCCCTTTCTCTTTCTCCCTTTCCCCAACGCCTCCCCCTCTCCCTCCCCCCACCCCCACAACCTCAGACTCACGTAGGCATGCACATGTTAACCACATTCGCCATCTGCTTTTTGTTTTGGGATGGAGCTTTCCACCCACCGCTTTCTTTTCCCCTTTTTATCGTGATTTATTCCATCCACTCTGTTTATTGTTCGGTAGTTTTGTTTTTTTCTTATGGGAAGATTTGAGTGCCATCACTTGACTTAATCGGTCTTTTGATTATTTTTCTTTACATTAACTTTATGATAGTGATGTAGGGCTGTTTGTAAAGATTATAATGGTGATAACTATGATATTATTGTTAATGATAGTGATCATTATATTACTATAACTGCTAATACTACTATTATTAGTATTAGGATTCTCCTTATGTTACTGCTGGGACCAATGTACAGCTGCTATAAGTTCTGTCGTTGATATCGTTATTATTTTTATTATTATTTTATTTTAATTGTTATTATTATTGCCATCATATCCACTGACTTTATCATTATCTTGTCGTTTTTAATATGATTAGCATTAATATATTGTACATGCTTTCCTGACCACAGTGGCGAAGGAAGAGTTTCAGTGAAAGTGACACTTTTTGACACTGAAGCTGTTCTCCTTCCACGCCTGTGACAAGTGACATAATTGTTAACTTTCACGTCTCTCTATAACAATCACTCACTGTCTGAAAACCTTTGAATGTCAATTCTTTATTTTTTTTCTTTCTTTCTTTATTATCATTTTTAGATTTACTTATTTTTTGTAATGTTCGGGTTTGATTTTTTTTTTTTTTTTTTTTTTTTTTTGGGGGGGGGTGGGTTCTTTGTTTGTTGTGGTTACGTCAGCTGTTCCGGGTTGGCGCTACATTTTTACGATTCGGCCGTTGCTTGCCCTTGTCGCTCGGCTGTGTTCGTGCGAGACTTCCTGTTCTCGTGGTTGATGAATTCTGCCATTTTTATGGTGTACTCGCCGTTTTTACGTGTGAAAATTTTGGTTCTGATTTTAAGCAACGTCTAGAGAAGTGTATGGAGTGTTTTTGTCACGCGGGTTGGTTTAGTTTGGAGTATTTGTTTTTCCCCTTACCTTTACCTTCCCTTCTTCACTATTGTTCCTCCCTCCCCCTTCCCCTTCTTCACTATTGTTCCTCCCTCCCCCTTCCCCTTCTTCACTATTGTTCCTCCCTCCCCCTTCCCCTTCTTCACTATTGTCATTTCCCTTCCCCTCCCTTCCCTTCTCTTCCCTTCTTCACTGCAATGCTATCCTTTCCCTTCCATCCCTTTCCTTCTTCACTTTGCACTGTCTGTTCCCGCCACCTTCCCTTTCTTCATCGTTCCTCATCTCCTCA